GGGACACACTCTTTCTAAAGGTGGAATCACCTCATTACTCCTGAGGTCATCGTGGGTCCAACAAAGCCCAACTAGCAATGCCTCCAGCTGAGCTGTTAAACCAGTCATCCTTGGGATGGACTTCAAAAAGAGGGCTTTATAAGAAAGAGAGAGAGAGAAGGAGCAAAGTGAGGAGAAATGGCAGCCAAAGATTAATTCTGATGAGCTTCAAGCTTTGTGTATAGTTCAAGTCTTTAATCAGAATACCTGAGGTAGATCCCCGACTCCCAAGAACCAGATCCTTAGGGACAAGTCTTCCATGGGAAGTGTAGAGGGATGGAAATGTCCATCCCTAAGAGAGTCAGGTGCAGACTCCTTTCTCAAGAGAGCCTCTAGGTGGTTAGAAAGTACATAGTCCTAGCCAGGTGCCGGTGGCTCACGCCTGTAGTCCTAGCTACTCAGAAGGCTGAGATCTGAGGATCACGGTTCAAAGCCAGCCTGAGCAGGAAAGTCTGGGAAACTGTTCTTTCCAATAAACCACCAGAAAACCGGAAGTGGCGCTGTAGCTCAAGTGGTAGAGTGCTAGCCTTGAACTTAAGAGCGCAGGGACAGCACTCAGGCCCAGAGTTCAAGGCCCACAACCGATAAAAAAAAAAAATAAAAGTACATAGTCCTGACTTCGCCAGTGTCATTCTCTCTGTTCATAGATAACTGATGGGGACCTCTCATTGCATGCTGGGTCAGCCACAGTGGCCAATGAGCAAGATGGGCATCTGTGAAAGCCCCAGCCCCATTGTGGTCCTAATGTAGGGAAGAGATGAAGCTGGAGGATCTCTTCTGTGCTAACATCACCTCTCTGGGTTCCAATACTGTGTTAGTCACACTTTTCATTGCTAAAACTAATGCACAAAGAACCATTTAAGAGAGGAAGCATTGATGGAGGTCTGTGGGGTTCAGAGCTTTTCAGAAGTTCCATCAATTGTGGTGGAGAGGATATTGCAAAGCTAGTCATATGGCAGTCAAGAAGCAGAAAGAAAACAGAGAGGGGGAATGGAGGGAGGGTAGGAGGAAGAGAAAAGAGTGTACACCCACTGGCTTTCTACTTTCCTCTTTTTGTGAGTCTGCTCTGTTTGGGATATTGCATCCTAAATTCATATGGGTCTTTCTCCTTTATTTAATCCTCTCTAGGAACATCCTCACAGAGAAAAATTATGCTTTTCTAATCTCTCACACACCTCTCAATGCAATTAAGTTGTCAATCAAGAATAATCAACCAAAACAGCAATGATAACACACTCCTCTAATACTGGAAGGCATGTGGTGGCATCATAGGCATAGCAAACTCTGGAGACTCTGGGCTCCATAGCAACGCCATGTCCCCAAATAATGAAGCACAGATCAATGGTGACAATCCCCCTCATCCTCTATGATTCATGGAGGGTGTTGTCCTTTAGGCCTCTTGTGTCCTTTAGGCCTCTTGGTAGATCCAATTGTGTTGTGCTCTTGAGAGTCTAAGCAGACATAGTTCATGTTTTATACATCAGCTGCTTCCCCAGTACAGTCCCTGAGCTCTTTTACTCAAGGTTAGCATTCTACCACTTTGATATACAGCTCCACTTCTGAATTTCTGGTGGTTAGTTGGAGATAAGAACCTCATGGATGGGCTGGGAAGGTGGCTCAGGGGTAGAGCGCTTGCCTTGCATGCCTGAGGCCCTGGGTTCGATTCCTCAGCACCACATAAGCGAAAAGAAAAAAGCCGGAAGTGGCGCTGTGGCTCAAGTGGTAGAGCGCTAGCCTTGAGCTGAAGAGCTGAGGGTCAGTGCCCAGGCCCAGAGTTCAGGCCTCACGACCGGACCCAAAAAAAAAAAAAAAAGAACCTTATGGACTTTCTTGCCCAGGCTGTTTTCAGATCAAAATCCTCAGGTCTCAGCCTCCTGAGTAGCTAGGTTTATAGGCATGAGCCACAGCACCTGGATATATTGGCAATCTTTTCTTTCTTTCTTTCTGGTTTTTTTTTGGTGTTTTTTGGTGTTTTTTGTCCATCATGGGGCTTGAACTCTGGGCTTGGGTGCTGTCCCTGCACTCTTCAACTCAAGGTGAGTGCTCTACCGCTTGCGCCACAGCGCCACTTCCGGTTTTCTAGTGGTTTATTGGAGATAAGAGTCTCATGGACTTTCCTGCCCAGGCTGGCTTTAAACCCCAATCCTCAGATCTCAGCCTCCTGAGTAGTTAGGGTTACAGGCATGAGCACCTGGGGCCCAGCTTCCTTTTCTTTCTACACAACAAATGTTTCACAGATTTGGTAACAATACAACACACTCATTATATTGTGGTTTCTGAAGATCAGGAGTCTCACATAGCTCAGCTAAGTTCTGGTTTAGGGCTTCACTGGGCTTCCAGGAACATGTTGGAGTTCTGTCTCAGTCTCAACTAGAAATGATCCATATTCAACCTTCTGTTGTTAGGTAGAGTACAGACCCCTTAGGTGAGAGATTGAGAGCCTGTGTTTCTTCTAGCTGTTAGCCAGATGTCAGCTCTCCTGTTTTCTCGAATCCATTTATTCTTTTCTTCTTCTGACTTTCTCTAAATGGCTGCTTCTCCATAAACAAGCGGGAGGGACAGACTGGAGAAAGATCATCACCAGAACTACTCATGGAGTCACAAACATGTAGTTGTGTGCATTCAGTCACCAATGTTGTGTTTGCTCAGAAGCAAGTTGGAAGTCTGGCTCACAGAAGGTGATCACACAGGATATGAATCACACTCATGGAGGTTATAGGACCTCAGGATCTGATCTACATGGAAGGTATTTGTTGAAATAACAATGTCATTTGTGGTTTAGGGGTTGGTCTCCACTTGTGACAGATTATCATTGGCTAATATTCGGTTATATCAGCCTTGATTGAATAGCTGAGTATATACTTAACTTGTGTCCCTGTGCTGTGACTATGATAACCCATCATCACAAACATAGTGGCTTCTTACAACACAAAAGCCCTGTAGTCTGAGGTCAGAAAACCAAGATATCTCTACACAGTTGCAGTCTTTATTTAGGTGCTATGGAAAATCTGCTTCATTTTAAAGCAGACTTTGTGTTTGCGAGTGCACACATGCACGCACGCACACACACACACATCTTTGAGCAGGTAAAATAAATGTGGTCTAAAATGCTGAAATTCTTCATTGTGATTTTCCTGTGTGCATCACTGGATCTTCAGACCATGATTCCAAATGCAATGGTAGTTTTCCCTACAGCTTAGTCTCTGTTTCTTTGCTCACACTTGGACTACAGATCTCTCTACTAGAATGTCCAAATGGGTAGATAGGCTGCAAGAGGTGTATCCCATTCCCATGCCCTGGAAAGTCCATATTTAAGGAACCACCTGGCCACTAAAACTTACTTATGATCTTCTAAGTAATTCTTGATGGACTGTGTATATTGCTCACTTTTATATGATTCAGAACCGGAAAAACTTTGATTCACTAAACACCCAAGTTCCCCACTGAAGGAAAATGAGGCGTGGCTGTTCTATCTCCTTACATAAACCCTCATAGTATAAAAGAGAACCCTTTTGAGGTCTATTTATTCTCACAATTTTCATGTGTGTGTGTGTGTGTGTGTGTGTGTTGTAGATAATCATTTTGTCAAATGTGTGTGTTTATGTGTTGTTGTTGACAATCATTTTGTCAAATGACTCATGTTTTCTGCGTGCTTTCCTCCAGTAAGAACAGAAAAACCAAGTTTGAGAAGACCTCTGTTGTGTTGCCTTGCTGGACCTCTAGCAACTTGACTTGTTTCTATATTCTGAATGTATGCATGAGTATATAGATGGATGGGTAACTAAATCCATGAAAGTGTCAATTTGCAAATGAGCAAACAAATGGATTAATACATGTATGCATAGAGACATTGGTACATGCCTGTTGAAAATTGTCCCTTACAAAACCTATCTTTTGCCCTGTGTTGAACTTTCCTGGAGTGAGGATCACTCACTGCCCCCTTGTGGTGAAAATTACATGACTGTCCTAGAGTTAACAGCATGGCAATGATAGCCTCTCTCCAACACCTCAGTTAGAATGACCAGTATCAAGAAAACAAATAATTGGGCTGGGAAGGTGGCTCAGTGGTAGAGCACTTGCCTTGAGCTGAAGAACTGAGGGACAGTGCCCAGGCCCAGAGTTCAAGCCCCACGACTGACAAAAAAAAAAATGGAAAAGACTTGGAAAAAATCATACTTACTGAAGTAAGCCAGACCCAAAGAAACATAGGCTTCATGGTTTCTCACATTTGTACTACTTAGTATATGTTTAGAATAGTCCTAGCAAAGGATCACAATAGAATAATAGCTACATACATATGACCATATAAAATTATGCTAATTGAAATGAACTCCAAGATATGGAAACAACAGGGTTTTATTGATGTTTTTAATGTTCTTTGTGAAATTATTTATTTATTCTTTCATTTTTTTCCTTTTATCTCCTGTTGTCACTGTTTTTGATTTTGGTACCCTGTGTCTTGTATATACATTTGTCTAATTTGGGGACAGGAAAGGGAATAACAAAATGGTGAGACAAAGGACAAAGGGTGAACCAATGCAATAGTGATACTCACAAGATACTATGTTGGAAATGAACATTACATCTTGAGGGAGGTTGGGGGGAGAGAAAGTGGAGAAAACAAGGGAAAGGGTAACAATGTTAGATAAGAAATGTACTCATGGGCTGGGAAGGTGGCTCAGTGGTAGAGTGCTTGCCTTGCATGAATGAGGCCCTGGGTTCGATTCCTCAGCACCTCATAAGCAAAAAGAAAAAAGCCGTAAGTGGCACTGTGGCTCAAGTGGTAGAGCGCTAGCCTTGAGCTGAAGAGCTGAGGGACAGTGCCCAGGCCCAGAGTTCAGACCCCACGACCGGACCCAAAAGAAAAAGAAAAAAGAAATGTACTCATTATGTATGTAACTGTAACCTCTCTGTACATCAACTTTACAATAAGGCTAAATTTAAAAAACATCCCTAGTTCATCATATTTCCTTTAGAAAGTTGACTATAACATTACCAACGTTCAGAGTACAGGGAAAAGATATAAGGCCATTAAGGAATACCATACATCCATGGAAACCATCTTCTGCGTGGTACCAGGTCACAGGGACCCCCTGGTCTTCCAAGCGCTTCTTATACAGTAGGCCATCATCTCGGAGGATATCCCACTCACAGGTCACTATGAGAGCTTCGGGAAGCTGAGCGACAATCTGGTCATCGGCTATGAGGGGGACATTTTCTACTTCAAAAGCATGTCTGGTTTCCAGGTAGGCAGCCTCATTAAAAGGTGCGGGAAATTCTGCTTGGTACTTGTATCTGAACCTTTCAGGGAGATTGTCAGCGCTCAGCCATTTCTTATACTTCTCCCACATATGGGCAGGAACACAAGCACCTGTTAACAAGGCATCTTTCCAGGAGGGGTCAATTGTAAAATATCGGCAGAAACACAAAATCATGAAGTCTCTTGTGAGAAATTGGATATTTTTGTTCTGTTGATGTGATGGTAACTGCAAATTGATGCCCTGGAGAGCAGGGTAAACCAAAATCTGAGCCCGAAGTTTTGGAATATCTGTTCTGCCCACCAATGCCTGGCTGATGAAAGCTGCAGCAGAAGCCCCAATGCTGTCCCCAGAGATCACAACCCGGGAGGGGTCCACCCCATAGATATCTAGTGTCTTCAGGAAGTGGATGGCAGCATGCAAGCAATCGGAGGCACCGACAGGATAATGGTAATCAGGAAGCTTTCGGTACCTGTGGGGGAAAAAAGAAAACCCAATACCCTAGTGAGCAGAGAGTTAGAAGAGGCCATATGAACAGTCTTCTACCCCACTGAGGAGACCATGTCTGATTAATCCCTCTAAATGTTTCTAAAAAACTAAAATCTTTGTTCATATTGTGTGCCTGCTATGTGTGTGGTTGCTGTGTGTGTGTGTGGTTGTGTGTGGTTGTGTGTGTGTGAGTGAGTGTGTGTGTGTGTGTGTGTAAAGAATCTGTTTAGAGTCAGAGTGGCTGAAATTCTCCATCCAGATCTATACACTGACTCCATATATAACAAACCCACCAGGATTCTGCAAGTTGAAATTTGTTGGCTTTAGAAACAGAAAACAAACAATCATGGGGGGAAAAAGGCAATTGAAGCTGCCAGTGGTCCCACTGTCTGTCAGTAGTGGAAGGGAAGTTGAGGCTGATCTCAAGGGGGAATTGCTTTCAAGAAGGGAGCCAAGAATAGAAAGGAGAAAAGAAAATCAATAATGTCAGAGGGAAAGAGACGGTATTCCCATGTTGAAGCATCTCTCAGCCATCTTCTCCCAGACATATCCTATGGCAGTCCTCTGGCAAATCTGAAGCTCCTTTCCTCCCTGAGCAATTACACAGCTGTCCATCAATCTGCTCTGCCCATCTCTGCAAGTATCTGCTATAATGATACACTCTGAAATTCCTCAGAAGACATCAGAGCAGTTGCTTGTGCATACCTTTCTGTGGTTTCTGTTCAAGGGATCTTCATTTTCTCCAAGGCTTTCTGGATCATGGATTACTATGCTAGAAACCTAGATGCCATGTTAGCCAGATCCTCCCAACTGAAGAGATGCTCTTCTCCTCAGTGTTATGACTAGTGGTGCTTAGTGATTTACTGGCATCCTACAGCTGCATTGTCTACTCATTCTAGGGAAACCCAAAATTAAATATGTCCATTGGTGAAACATAAAATAACAGAATGATTGTTAATTTTATTTCTCTCATTTCCTTCTCTAAACTGTATCATATTGACTTTTTGTGATCTTTTGGATTAAGACCCAGAATCACAGTGACTAGCACCTAACTGCCTCTTCTTTCACTCAAATGTTCCCTTGGTTTCTCAAGGACTAGAGTTGTTTCATGAGTTTCTTTCCACCTTGCTTTTTACCTTCCTAGAAGTTGATTGAGGTATGTAAGTAAGTACTTGAAAAATGCAGTGAAGTTCAACCTATTGAACCATTGTCCTACCAATTAACAAGACATTGTCCATGACCTTCAGACAAGGCTGATTCCCTAATTGCTTCATCCATTTCTCCTCTGAAAGATATGCTACCCTGATTCTCAGATTCACCTTATTTTGTCCATTCCTTTTTACATTGTTTTATTGGGCCTAGGCAATTTTTTTAAATATTGGCTTGGTTTTGTTTTTAAATTCCTAAGGATATTATCAGGCTTTTTGTACACTTGTGAACATGTTTCCTTTAATTTTTCTAAGATTTCTTTACATCTTAGGCTGTTAGGGTGGTTTCGTTTACCAAATAGCTATTGAATATTGCCTTATGGCTCCGTTGCTCTATCATTTGGGTGTGTTGTATTCCATCTGCAAAGGCTCATTTGCTCCAGTCTTGTTCTCTAGCTGGTGGATCAAGTTATCAAGACATCTTTGGATTGACGCAGGCAGAAAAAACAGGGCCTATTGTTTTCATAGTCATATGTACGACTGTTCTAGTTACTAGCCCTTGCCTAAGGAACACCCCAAGACACCATCTGATTCCCTACCTTATAAACCATCAAAAAGTACTGGCAAGTAGCCAATAGCAGGCAATTTTCTTTTTCAACGAAATAAAATGCCCTTTATGACACATTTGCAGTACTGTACCTAGCAGTGCTTGCTCAAGAGAACTTTTGAGGAGAGAAATCCCTAATTAAGGTTTAATGTTTATGCTCTGCAGATCATTCATAGCATTGTAACAGAATGCATTGTGGGAATGAGTATGCATGTTAAAAAATACTATATAACCATCAGCTGCCACTGAGAACTGTCCATCATGAAGTACTCCTGTGAGAGGTTCTCAACCTTCCACTCAGCCAAAAGCAGCCTTAAATTGTTCCTGCCCCCATTTGGCAGAGCCTTGGAGCTTTCCTGCTCTGGCCTTATCCCATAGTATACAATATATTCCACTTATTTTCTCTTTAATAAATTTGTGTGCTTCACGTTACTATGTACAGTTTATTCAGTTCTTAGAGATGTCAAGAATCTAGAAAGGCTGATACCACTGATACCACTACCTGGTAATGAGATCATGAGGGTTCTGGCTTGCACAATAGATTAAAAACTGCTGGATTCATAATTAGTTGACATTATTGGGCACTGATTGATGGTGGGGCTTAGCTGGAGGCAATAGATCACTTATGGTGCCTCTGAAGTATACCTTGGTCCTTAAGCACTTACTGTTTCTCTCTGCTTTCTGGTTTGTACATAGTGAGCGACTGCTCTGCCACACTGTCTTGCTATCATCAGTTTTAGCTTATAGCAACTCCATAACAGTGGAACAATTTGATCATGGACTGATAACACTTGAATCTTTGAGAGGTTGTTAGAGTGATCAAACTTTCAAGTAACAAAGAAAATTAACTGGAGAAATGGGAATGTTGCAGTGACCACATGATAATATGGTTCTGAAGCCCTTGAAACTGGTTCATGAAAGAAATATAAGAGGGCTTGGAAAGTGGCTCAGTGGTAGAGTGCTTGCCTTGCATGCATGTGGCCCTGGATTCGATTCCTCAGCACCACATAAGCAGAAAAAGTCATAAGTGGCTCTGTGGCTCAAGTGGTAGAATGCTAGCCTATGAAAAACTGATATGTAAGGTGGCAAGGCCCCAAAATGCTACAACTGGAGTGAGGTTGGTGATTCTGGGAGAAGCTCTGAAAACCAGAATACCAATAAGAATGTAGACATAAGAGACTGAGTTCACGAGGTCTCAGATGAAACAATTTCTCTTGAGAATCAATCCATTCATGCTGCATTATGGCAAAGCGCTTGTCTATATTTTGTCCATGGCTTAAGATTTTGTGAGAGACTAAGTTTAAAGTTGAAGGGTTCATTAGAAAGAATGATATTGTACTATTTGTAAAGAAATGGAAAGACCTGGAAAAAAGTTAAGTGAAGTGAGTCAGACCCAGAGAGACAGAGGATGCATGTTTTCCTTTATATGTGGAAAGTAGTTTTAGCCTATAAATGTATAAGTAAATATGTTGGAGGGTACGCAAGTATATACTAATGTATACACCAACGTATGGTAGATTCAGTGGAGAACTCAGTGTAATTCCTTAGAAAGACAAAGTCAAAGTTCAGCAAAGTAGAACACCAAGAAGCAGGTACTCAAAAGGAATGGGGTGGAGTGAAGGGTTTTAAAAGGGTAGGCGAATGCAGAGGGGAAGAGAGGGGGATGGCAGACAAGGATCCAATGTATGTCCTACAAAATTAAGAATAGTGATGGAAGGGTAACATTGATCAAGGAATATTGTATTCATAAACTGCTTTGTTAAATGGCAAAGCCTTTTGTACACCTCCTTAAAGATAATATAAATCAATAAGTAAAGTGGGAGGACTAAGTGAAAATCTGATGGAAGACATATCAAGGCAGCTCAGTATAGGCTATGGCATGGGTATTTCTAACTTTTTCTTAATTCATGTTTTAGTGAAATCTGGCAGCAAAAGGCAGTGCAGGAATAAGTGAAAAAATGTACAGTTTAACCAGCAAAGTGCTATTGTGGTGGAATTTGTGAACAAAGATAGTGTGGTTGTTAAAATCATTAGTTTTTTTTATAGACAATAAGAATGAATTGTTGGGCACCAGCAGCTCATGCCTGTAGTCCTAGCTACTCAGGAAGCTGAGATTTGAGGATCTCAGTTCAAAACTATCCCAAACAGGAAAGTTTGTGAGACTCTTATCTCTAATTAAGCACCAGAAAATCGGAAGTGTCACTGTGGCTTAAAGTGGTAGAGTACTAACCTTGAGCAAAAGAGCTCAAGGACAACACCTAGGCCCTGAGTTCAAGCCCCATGGTCGACAGAGGAAAAAGAAAAGAAAGGAAAGAAAAAAAGAAAGGAAAGCAAAAAGGAAAACACCTTCAGGATAGCTCAGGGAGTAACCAGACATCTCCCCTTCTTAAGCTCAGGTGTAAAAGTCTATACTTAACCCTAGAACACTTGCCTTCTATAGGGACTCCTACAAAATTATTTCTCCACTATCAATTTCACTTATACACTAGGTGGCCATTGCACCTGTGGTGCACAGAGGGAACCAGCTACTTCCTGAAATGTTGGTACATAGCTATTGGGATCGTCCATGTGCTGATGTTTTGCAGATATGCAATGTAGACTTCTGAGAGTTCAAAGGAAGCCAGAGGGAATTAGACAATGTATGGCAATGTTGATGTTCCCTCAAGCCATCCATGAAAAGATGGTGGATGGGCAAAGGTGTGAAGGTGAAGCCTAAGCTACAGTGGAGAGCCAAGGGAGTTAAGGCTGTCAGGAATATGGATCTCAGGCTAAGCAAATCTGCAGCCAGGGTCCAGAGCCAGCTCAGCCGAGAGAAAGGATTGCCATCATCCAGTCATTGGTACAGAACTGCCAATATCATGTGAGGGTCATATCCCACATCGTTTGACAGAAAGGGATCCTTAGGGCTTCATGTTTCTAATTCGTTTTTGTTTCTGTGCTGCTTTGCTTTTCAAATAGGAAGGTTTACTCTGCCTTTGCATATTGAAAGTTTTCAGGGACCCTCAAATGGTAGTTGCCTTGAGTCTCTGAAGTGACATTAAACTTGAACTTTTGAACAATGTTGCAACTCTTAAGGTTTTGAGGACTCTTGGATAGGACTAAGTGCTTTTCATGTTATGAGATGGCTATAAGCTAAGGGGTGGATATGAAGTATCCCACCAAAAGGCTATTTGTGTTAAATGCTTGATAGAGGACGGATCCAATCATTGAGCTATGACTGGATAATGGAGTCACTGACATTATCAATGGGGGAATCTATTGATGGATCACTAACTTGATAGCATTGCTGAGAGGTGATTTTAGTTGTGTCCTAGTAGTTATAGACACTAGGTCACAGAGTCTATGTGTTTCAATGGTATTTTTTCTCTGGTCTCGTTCTATCTCTCTCTGCTACCATGACGTGGGCACCTTTGCCAGGTTTCTTCATATCTTCCTGCCACCATGATGACCTGCCTCACGCAGGAACACAGGAATGAAACAAGCTAGTATGTATCAAACCTCCAAATCAGTTAATACAAAAATCCTTCCTCCTTTAAGAAGTTTTCTTTGCAGTTGTTAAAGTGATGAAAAGTGAATAAAGTCAAAGTATGTAATCTTGTCTTTACCACTGCTCCTCCTTGCTGATTAGTGATGGTCATCCGTGTGTGTGTGTGTGTGTGTGTGTGTGTGTGTGTGTGTGTGTGTGTTTGCCAGTCCTATAACTCTGGGGCTTGAACTCAGGGCCTAGGTGCTAGGTGCTATCCCTGAGCTCTTGCTAGTTCTCTACCGATTGAGTCACAGCTCTACTTCCAGTTTGGTTGGGGCATGTTTTGTTTTGTTTGTTTGTTTCCATGGTTATGGGAGGTAAGGGTCTCAGATTGTCCTGCCTGAGCTCACTTTAAACTACAAAGCTCAAACCTCAGCCCCCTGATTAACTAGGATTACAGGAGTGAGCCATAATGCCAGCTGTTAGGAGTATCTTATTCCATGCTTCCGATGTCCTGGTGCTACCTTTTTCTCTGTCTGGGAGTGAATGTATCAAAGGGCATCTGCTCTCTTGTCCACAACCATCCTGGACTGATAAGTCTGCTACTCCCCCATCTCTTGGGAAACTTACCCAACTGAGAGCAGCACTGAGTTCGTCTTCTGGGCCAGGAAATTGCATGTGTTGTGGTACAAATCTACAAGACAAGAACAAGTGTGTGTCATGATGGGGGCCCAACACTTCTCACCACAGCCCCACTAACAACAGGTGCTGCTGTAGGCCTGTGGGTAGCAGACGGCCCTGTCTCCTCTGAACCAGCACGGTGCGGTGCTGCACAGGCAAAGCCAGATATCTACCGTTTACCACGTGTCATAGCTCAAGGCGACCATGAGGTTCATCTTCTTCAATGTTTATTTCACAATAGAGGCAACTGAGGATCTAGAAGGTTCAGGCATTTGAAAGCCAACACTAAGGAGTTTTAGCTAAAAGGAGGAGTATTAATAAGTTCATATATCACTTCAATGCAGAAATAGGTGTGGCTGGGGAGGACATTATGATTAGTTCAAGTTCTCTGAGTCAGAGGACAAAGGCTATAATGGAAAGAAGGAAAGAGTCGGCAGCCTCATTGGGACGTCTCAGGTCTCTTAGATGGACTAAGAGATGATAGTGTGAAGAATATTGCCAAGAGGTTGTCATTCTATCCACTGAGGTGTCCCTTAGCCTCTTACTAGCATCTCCACACCAAACTCCACTGCCACTTGATTTGCCATCTCCCAAGAGATCCTCAGGTATCGTCTGGGCATGAGGCTGAGGGGTAATAAGACCCTTCATCTCCCACATCCAACATTCCAGGAAAACTCCTTACCAATACTGCCCATCACCGTGCCTCCTCCATGGTAGAAGATTATGCCTCGCCTGAGGCCGGAGGATGTACCCTTGGGCTGATACAGCCTTACCTGAATTGTTCCAAATCGCATATCGGTCACCATCGTTTTAGGGTCATTCATTTTAGGGTGTAGATCAAGTAAAAATTGGATTAAGCGAGGCATGGAGCAAATTCTCAGCTTCTCCAATAAAAGCCCCTGGATGAGAGATGGAGACAAGATCTAGTTGTCCGTTTTCAAGACTCAATTCCCACCAACCATTCTGGTGTCAGTCCCAGAACATCGGTGTGGGCATGGCTCCGGTTCTGATGTGACTGAGTTGTCTTTCCACAAGGAACATAAATATTGAAGCTGACTCCGAGAAGTGGGAAGGTATAAATGCAAAATCAGAATTTCCCACGGTCTCCCTTGAAAGCGCCCCTGGCCTTGTTGCTTTGTTTCTATTCTGAGTCTTCACTCGTTTCTCCCAGCCTATCCCTTCCTTACTCCTGAGGTACATGAGTGCTTTCATTTAGTGCTCGATCCATCCATTGCACATACATGTGAGGAAAGCTATTAGTTTTGGTCTCAGAGCCACCTTTGGACTGCTGGGGGCCTCTTCCTCCACACACAGTCCATGCAAAGTTGAGAGTGAACCAGAGACTTATGGCAGAGGCCTCCCTCTCTCCACAGCCTTGGCAGCTCTGAGGCTGTGTGAAATCCCCCCTTGTTGCTCCATCCTTGAGGTGAGTCCTAGCAATGCTCCCTTCCCCCAGAATTAATCACCACTATTCGATGCTGTCTGGGAAGTGACTGGCTGCCCTTTCTCATGACTTCCTTGTCATCTGTTTTGCTCTTAACAGGAACAGTGTGACCCTGTGTGAGGAAGCCATCACCCGGATGCAGGCCAATAGTATGGCTCGGTCCATCATAACATTAGATTACCACTGACACCTCACATTGGAAGCAGTTTGCTCTCTGACCAGCTGAGGCTGGAACTGAATTGACAAGTTTGGCTGGTTACTCCTCACCACAGTTCAGCATCACTGTGGCCCTGCTGTGTGGCCTCCCAACTCCTTGCAGGACACCAGAGACATAAAGGGTGCTCAAGACCTGACATGGTCCCCATTCTGTCTAAGAGCACCTACCATACCTGCACAGCAATAGCAGAGTAAAACAATATGGACTTTCCTCCATGCATGGACTGCATTGGGAGTAGACAATTTGATCTTATACAAGTATCCTCCATGTCAGTTTCTGCTACATTCTCATAGTTTTCTGCTACCAAACTGTATCCTTCTTCCACACTGTCTTGTCTACGTCTTTTTGCCATTACTGTTTTGATGACAGCATTTGGTCTCTCAGGCCTAACTTCTTTCTAGGGTTTGAACAAAATATCTATGTACCAAATTAAATTATTAATGTTATTTGGGCAGTAGAGGTTTATGTCTATAATCTTAATTACAAAAGAGGCAGAGGATCACAGTTGGAAGGCGGCCTGGGCAGAAAAGTCTGAGATTAGCCAGAAAATAATAAATGGGGGGATGGCTCATGTGATAGAGCACTAGCCATGATCAAGGAAGCTGAGTAAGAATGTGAGACCCTGAGTTCAAGCTCTAGTCCTTGCACTATATAAGAATACATACATACATACATATAATTGCATATGATGATAGACATATCATATGCAATTAGTCTCACTATTCTGTCTCTTGTTGATATAAGTTGCAGAGCTCCAGAACAAACACTATTAGGTCACAGAAGACATTTTTATCCTTCCTGATGTTATGAAAGACCCATTTTTCACTGCAGCAACTCTTGCCTGGCAGATGTTAAAATTCAGGGCTGTGGTTCATGCCCCTTGGTTCCAACCATTCCAAACGGACCAACAACTGCAAACTCTAAGACATCTCAGCAAATTAGAGCCTCACTCATCCAACTGAAACGAATAACAGGAAGTAGTTCACCAACTGGGTACTGACTCATGCTACCCTGTACAGACAGGGCCACCAGGTACTACTTCAACTCTGTCTAACACATAAAGATTACAGATTCTTTCTCATGAGAAACCTACTCTCTGAATTTCTTATGTTCCCTGTCTGTCCAGGAGCTCATTGAATGGCCACTCTACTGGCCAATGAACTCTAACTAAATTATAAAAGCACATGTCTTTTCACAGAATGATCTCCCAATATTCAGGTTCTCAGCACTCCAGCAAGACTTAATCATTAAAAGATAATATTTACCCATTTTATTATCTGGTTGAAGGCAAGGCACAAAATCCGAAACATCACTCTGTGGCTGATAGCAGGAGGAACATCAATAATCAGCAGATCTTCCACTAAAAACCACAAGCTGACCCCCAGAACTCCAGCAGGGAGAAGGAGCACCAGAAAAGCAATCATGGCACCTTTCTTCCTTCAGAGTAGGCAGAGGAACTCCTGCCACCTGGAAAAGGTCTTCAGAATATCTCTTCCCCACAGACCCAGGCACTTTATAACTTGCAGGATCTGATTCTCCACTGCCGGTAGAGGTTTTGGCACATGGAAATCATCTTCAATGCAAGTGATTGCATCCGATTCTCAACTGAATAGGTTTTAACCCAACATGAGGCTGTGTCTTATCACACTACCTAAATATTCATCAGTCTGGCTAGGAAAGGGGCAGGTTGTGGCTAAAGGACTCCTGGGAGTTGATGCCAAGTCATGGCCAAGCTGCTTAGAGATTGGGAAAACATTGAGGAAGTCCTCTCAGGAGCCCTGTGTCTCTCCTCAGTTGGAAAATCAGGGATTAGCAAAGCTGTGTCTGTGCCAAAGTAAAAGAGGAAGAAAAGCCACTACCTACCCATCCCCTAGTCTGACATGTTCAAAGGCTAAAAATAAGCTTCATAACGAGTATATCTGCCATCTCTCTTATTTTCTATAGTTTCATGATTTGACATGTGTGGCCTGGTTGTTTTAATAGACACAGCAATTTCCAAGGTTAACAATGTTGAGAGAAAGCAAATAATTCTCTTGTGAGTACACTTTTCACATATAATCTAAGAAATGCAGAATCCACATCCTCAACCACCAACATTCTTGGCCTCTCAATGACAAGTCTCTATCTACCTGCCATGACTACCCTATAAAGGGAAGAGACAATCAAGTGCAACACTTTTTCCCCAGAGTGCACTGAAATCATCTCAGCCACCCAGTTGGGAAGCTGGTGACTCAGCCTTGCTTTTGTCTTCCTGGGGAAACACCATAGAAATTTCTGTGTATGTTGTTTCCTAGCTTTCTTCCTTAGCAGTCATTACTTCACTGTCAGTACGTTGGCCCTAGTGTGATTGTACCCTTCATGGGAACAGTGAGAAGTAGGTTATATTTTCATTTTATTTTATTTTATTTTGTAGGTCAGGGGGTTTGAACTCTGGGCCTGGGCGCTGTCCCTGAGCTCTTCAGCTCAAGGCAAGCACTCTACCACTTGAGCCACAGGGCCACTTCTGGTTTTCTGGTGGTTAATTGGAGATAAGAGTCTCACTGACTTTCCTGCCTGGTCTGTCTTTGAACCTCGATCCTTAGATCTCAGCCTCCTGAGTAGTTAGAATTATAAGCATGAGCCACCAGCACCTGGATAAGTTATATTTTCAGTGTAAATCATCTTTTGAACTGGTGGCCTTATTGAATCTCAAATTTTCTAGTAATAAACTAAGTTGCTGGTGGAATGTGGCCCAAGGGTAGAGTGCATGCACGTATAGAGCTCTTTGTTCAATTCCCAGCAACAGCAACAGACAGCATATTTTGATCCTCTGCTGAGAATCCTCCACTGGAGACAGAACAGACTAAGCAAAGACAGGGATAACCAATCTCATCTTTGAGTAAATTCTTGTGCAGATAACAGTAAAGATGAACTACTCAACACCAAGCACATTTTGAGACATTGGGGCCCCCGGGATGGATTTTCAGGTCAACACTTGTCCCATGAAGTTTGCTGTGTACCAAATGGTGCTTGTTTTAAGGTGGGTGACCTGGAATTGTTGTAGGTAACCACTGTTGGAATAAAGTTCTTTGCACAGGTAACTGAGGGAGATTGATTGAAGGATCCAGAAACCTATGGATGTCCTGGTAGGAACTGAGAAGCCTATATACAAATAATGGGGTATTCTTCGATTCAAGGAGGTACAGAAAAGGCACAGTGAACACTGAAGCATAGAGAAGTGATGTTTCCTACCCAAGCAACAGCATTGTGCTAAGAGGCAGGAGACAGAATTCTAGTGCTATCTTTTGGAACTTTCTCTTGACATTTATGGACGATGATCAAATGAAACCACCTCCAGGATGAGAAGATCTTCCTGCAGACCTGGAATCAGCATGGATGTCCTTTCCCATGGCTTTGGTGGTCACTTTTTGAAGTGAACAAGACAGATTGGAACCAAACAGGTGAGGCTGAGCCAGGCACAGTAGAATACATGGGCTTGTAGAAGGGGTTTGTTCCTCCGTGTCTGGAAAAGATCCCCATCCAGAACTGGGGCATGAATTGACTTCATACGGATGGTGAGTTGTAAGCATGAAATATCCAGAACAAAAGGGCACTGCAAAATATCTAATAACTATGCCCTTACTTAGTTCTTCTCCTATCACCCTGGACACAGAGTAGCAAAATAGGGAATGAAAAAAAAAAAGAAAAAACAACCAACCGAACAGGACTTGAGATAAGATAGGCTTATTAGAATTGAAAGAGGATCAAGGGATCTGCCCCAGGAAGGAACTTTGCAGTGGAGGGTCCCAAACATCATGCCTTTTGTGGGGAAGGAGTCTGGAGCCATCGTCATTCATAGGCAAGTGGGTGATGTGTCACAAATGTCTGGAGAGTGAGCAACGTCTTCAACTCTTCCTACATGTCTTCTTGGCCGTGGATGGCTACAATGCCAAGTGAGGAGAAAAGGAGGAAGGGGTGGCAGGGGATGGGGGAAGAACCAGGCCTCACTGTGCTTCTAGGCAAGATACTTGGATTTCTTTCCAAGTGCTGGGGGAAGATTGAGGTCTTTGTGCAGCGCAATAGCACGAGTTGACTTGCGCTTTTAAAATTACTTCCATTGGGCATTTCCTCCAAAAGTTCCACATAAAACCACTCCATGACCCAGCAATGGGGCTCCTAGTTGTGTACCCACACTGGGGGGAGACAGGGACTGAGGTAGACCCTGTTCTTTAGTGTTCACAGAGGTATTACCCCCCAATACCTAAAAGTGGGTATGACAAGTGGGTCTATCAGCACACACGCGGATAAACGAATGTGTTCGTGCATGCATTGAAATGTAATGCCGCTCCAGAAGCAAGGAGGAGAATCTGGGCAAATCTCATTGGCACGCCACTTCCAAAGCTAAGGTATGGCTTCTATGAACAGACAATGGGGCTTCTGACTGTAGGGTTGGGTCTTTCTTTCTCCTGTTTCTCCCTGGTCAGTCTCTCCAAGTAAGCCAGCTATTCAGATGTGTGTCTTATGAAGAGTTATAAAACAGAGATCGCTGGAAAAGTAGCCTTTCAATACCCAGGATAGGCATGGTCCAGAGACAATTTCCTACCCAGAGGAAACGATCTCACAAAACCTCTGCTAAGGCCATTGTCTTATATGGAAGTTTTTGTTCTGCTACAAGCAGATGGTTCTTACTCATATTGCACCTTGTCAACTCTTCTGCTCATGTGTCCTTCTGACGAGTGGATAGATTCTTTCTTTGAGGATCAGAGGGCTGTATGTAAACCATCACACTGTGCCCCTGTCCCCGAGAGATCACCTTGGGGAATAAATGCATTCTACTATTTGACCTTACTCTGGGTCTTCCCCAGGTGAGTGAAACAATGTTTCATTCAGTGATAGCCTGTATATCAAATATGATACAAAGGTGAGAGGGGAGGAAGATTTAGAATTCTTTCCGAGTTTGATAATAGGTGCACTGTGTTGTTCTATAAGCAGTGATGTCTCTAACCAAACATCAGTGAAGTCCTGGAGCCTGAGCTGTGACCTGAGAATCTGGTTTAAAAAATAGTAATACAGAAGTATAAGATTTGGAAGCAAATTTATCTCCTTCTTAGGCAAAGAAACATTCTCCTTTTGAGAACCGGCTCTGTTTCACTGCCCAATCTTGGTAGAGTCTCACTGCTTTGTCATGAATGATCAGAATACACTTTTTGGGGACACATTCAGGCCTTAGTCATGCTGAACTTTCCATCATAAACCTGGTTCTTCCTGACGACCCACTTGGTCATGTACAAGGCATGTACAGCAGCAATCTGTCATCACTGATAGTGATAAATAAGACACTCAGCTGAGGCAGATCTGAAGAGAAAATGTGATTTGCAAGAACAGGTTGCCTGGACTCCTTCATTATAATGCCTGTTCATTAACTCTACTTTCATGCCCATAGCTTCCTGAAGACTTGGTTAGAACCAGGCAAAGGAGGAAGACAGAGCCCAGTCTTGGTTTACAGATGGATATGTAAAACATCCAAGCACCAAAGAGTAGCTGGAGCAGAATTATAGCTGCTCATATATGACCCGGAAGAACAACATAGGAGGAAGAGATGCAGGACGCCCATGGAACATTGACTTCCCAGTGTATCTGGACTGGAAAGCAGTCATATGTGTGGTTCTTCATAGACTGACCTGATGATTTTCCCAGGTGAAAATCCATCCAGAGAATCCATTGTGATAAATACTTAATAGCCATATGGGTAATAGAGCATACTTCATCTAGCATTTCTCAGCAAAATGGGGACTGCTATCGCAGTGCTTTGGTTGAGAAGGGACTCTGACAGGAGGGCAGAAAGATGCTATTCTGAAAATAGGCTGGAAAACACTCCAGAGAAAGCACAGAGTTCCTCACTGGGGATGTGGCCAGATGGGAGCAATGTGGTATGTATGCAGAGATAGCTAGACAAGATGAGAGGAATTCATCTTAGATAAGTAGCTGTCACCAGTTCTAAAGGGTGAGCCCATAGATGTGGGCCATTCTCTGCTTTGTAAACTGAGAAGTAGACTTGGCTTCTTTTCCCATCACCTTCTGGTATGGCTACAGAGTAGGGTAGATTCTAAGGTGGACCAAGGGCTGGGAAGTTGGCTCAATGGTAGAGCGCTTGTCTTGTATGCCTGAGGCCCTGGGTTCGATTCCTCAGTACCACATAAGCAAAAAGGAAAAAGCTGGAAGTGGCACTGTGGCTCAAGTGGTAGAGTGCTAGCCTGGAGCTGAAGAGCTGAGGGACAGCGCCCAGGCTCAGAGTTCAGGCCCCACGACCAGACCCAAAAAAAGAAAGAAAGAAGGTGGACCAAGCTGTTTATATCCTTGTGTGATCTCCTGTGACTTGCTTGTGACGGGGTAAATATGACATGTATGTGATTACATGTTCATGATTTCATCACAGTAGATTCTG